ACCTTCAAAAACCTAAGGAAAACCAATGATTTTGGCCTCTTCGGGCTCTCCTGGAGAACGTCTTGGAGGCCTCTTGGGCCATCTTGGAGGCATCTTGGGGCCATCTTGGCCGTCTTGGAGGGCATCTTGGGCCGTCTTGGAGGCATCTTGGAGCCATCTTACCCGTCTTGGAGGCCATCTTGGCCGTCTGGGAGGCATCTTGGAGGCCATCTTGGGCCATCTTGGCCGTCTTGGAGGCCATCTTGGGCCAAGTTGGGGCAACAAAGGCATTGACAGACGGATTTTGGGAAAATTACGGGTGGCCGGCGGGACGGGCCGAAGCCCACTGGGGAGTTCTTTTAGAAAAAGAACCAAAACCAAAACCTGAAACATCCAGCACGCCGTGCACCCCTGCAAGCAGGGGGCGGCGGATCGAAGACGCCTACGGCGAATCACCGCCGCCCCCTGCCTTTTTGGAAGCGCCTATGTGGCCGAACGTTGAGGCCAGACCTGCCAAGCTATCGGACCACGTGTTCCCCGAATCGGTTTGGAAAGCCTTCGGGGAACACGTGGGCATCTTGAAGGTCATCTTGGCCGTCTTGGAGGCCTCTTGGGCAAGCTTTGGGCGATCTTTGGGGCTTTTTGGGCCGTCTCGGGCCAGCTTCGAGCCAACTTCGGCCATCTTGGTGGGTTCCTGGCACGTCTGAAGCCGTCGGAAGCCGTTTGGGGGGCCTCTATGGGCCGACTTGGGGCCCGCTTGGAATGCTCCAGGGCCGTCTTGGAGGCCATCTTGGGCGTCTGGGAGGCCATCTTGGGCGTGTTGGAGGCCTCTTGGGCCCTCTTGGGGCCCTCTAGGGGCCATCTTGGAGGCCACTTGGGCCATCATGGGGCTCTCTTGGGGGCCTCTTGGGCGATCTTGGGGGCTTCTTGGGCCGTCTTGAGCCGTCGGAGAGCCGAAAAGGCGCAAATGCCAAAATCCTTCAAAAACCAAGGGAAAATCAATGATTTTGGCCTCTTCGGACTCTCCTGGAGGACCTCTTGGAGGCCTCTTGGGCCGTCTGGGAGGCCTCTGGGGGGCCTCTTGGGCCGTCTTGGGCCGTCTTGGACTCTCTTGGGCCGTTTTGGAGGCCGTCTTGGACCATCTCGGGCGGACTTGGAGGCCATCTTGGGCCATCTTCGCGATTTTTTGAGGATGTCCCGAGCGAAACGGCCGTTTTTGGGCATTGACAGATGGGTTTTATGAGATTTACGGGTGGCCGGCGGGACGGGCCGAAGCCCATTGGGGAGTTCTTTTAGAAAAAGAACCAAAACCAAAACCTGAAACATCCAGCACGCCGTGCACCCCTGCAAGCAGGGGGCGGCGGATCTAGTGGCCTGCGGCCCATCCCGCCACCGTGCCTGGGTTGTGGGTCAGAGTTCTCATGGATGCTTTTGGGGATCTCTTCAGAGGTTTGTCGGGGGCCTCTGGAGGCAGTTTGGAGGCCGCTTGGGAGCCTCTTGAGAGCCTCTGGGGCCACTTGGGAGCGTCTTGGGGCTTCGTGGGGGCCTCTTGTCGGCTTCTTGGAGCCTCTTGGGGGCCTCTTGGGAGCCTCTTGGGGCCTCCTGGAGGTCTCTTGAGGCGGTGAGCTTGAAATGTCGGTTCCTGTTCGCCCTCTGGGGTCCCTCTTGGGGCGTTCTTGGGGCCGTCTTGGGTCTTGGGCCATCCTGGATGCCTCTTGGGCCGTCTTGGGGGGCCTTTGGGGCCATCTGGGCGCCCCGTTGACGGCCTCGTAGACCGTGTTTGGGCGATCATCGGGGCTTCTTGGGCCGTCTTGGAGCGTCGGGAAGCCGAGAAGGCAGAAACGCTAAAATATTGGGAGTGCCCTTGGAGGCCTGTTGGAGCGTCTTGGAGGCGCGTTGGACCGCCTGCAGGCCATCTTGGTCGTCCGGGCTCATATTTCTTATGCTGCGCACACACATTGAATGTCAATGTCTATCTATCTGAGGTTGGGGGGTGAGATCGCAGTGAAACGGAGACCCCCCACCAGGAAGTCGGTTTCGGTTTCGTGTCCGTGCCGTGCGTGCGGGCGAGGCGAAGCTGCGCGTGATCCTCCTGTAGCTAGGCCGAAGTAGGAGCGAAAGTCCGTTCCCGTCCGCCGGTGGCTGGGAGGTGTCCCAGTTGGGCCGGGCGGTGTCCCGGGAGTCCCAGGTGTCAGTAGGAGCGAAGTCCGTTCCCCGTCCGCCGGTGGCCGGGAGGTGTCCCAGTTGGGAAGGGCGGTGTCCCGGGTGTCCCGGGCGTCAAAAGACAGAGAGACAGAGAGAGATGAGATCAATGTGACAGGCTGGAGGTCAGTCAGGGTGGGCATTTGATCTCAATCCCCCCCAAACCTCCTTATCGCCCGCAGGGCGGTCGTATAGGTATCTCGTACGAGTATACACATAGCATACAATGAGTCAGCGACCAAAGTATAAAACAACTTAGCCGTCGCCGTACCTCGCCTTGGGGGCTTCTTGGGGCCATTGTTTGTGGGGCCTGTCAGGTCAGCTTGGGGCCCTCTTGGGCCGTCTGGGGCCCCTTTGAGCCGACTTGGAGGTCACCCTCTGGGCTGTCTTGGGCTCTCGTGGGCTGTCTGGAGCCCCTGCGGGGACCCTCCTGGGGCGTCTTGGGGTCATGTCGGTGGTCCCAGGCCCATCCTGGGCCGCCTTGGGCCCTATTTGGGGCAAGCCGGGCAGCTTTGGGGGCAACCTTTGGACAACATTCTGGAGACCGAGACGGCGATTGTGTCAAAATCGAGCAACAAAACGAATATCAATGATGTTCGACTCTTGGCGGCCTCGTCGGGTTCTCTTCTGTACCCTTTGGGCCGTCTTGGGGGCCTGTTGGGATGTCTTGCGGCCGTTTGGGGACCATCGTGGGCCGTCTTTCGCCCGTCTTGGGAGTCTCTTAGTCGCTTCGGGACCTCATGCGGCCTCTCTTGGGCCTTCTCGTGCCGTCTCGGGGCCATCTGGGGCCGTATTGGGACCTCCTGGGGCAACCTGGACTTAACAAGCAGTGCACATCTCAAGTTGTGTCGGAAAATGTTTGATCGATGGTGGAAGTGGTGGTAATGTTGACGATTGCAAATAATTGGGGAACGAGAGAGAGAGAGAGAAACAGAGAGAGAGAGAGATACGGAGAGAGCGAGAAAGAGAGAGAGAGAGAGAGTGAGAGAGAGGAAGAGACAGAGAGACAGAGAGAGACAGAGAGACAGACAGACAGACAGGCAGGCAGACAGGCAGGCAGGCAGGCAGGCAGACAGACGGACGGACAGACAGAGACAGAGAGAGAGAGGATAAGAAAGAGAAAGAGAGAGAGAGAGAGAGAGATAGAGACTGAGTGTATGACCATGGCCGTAGTAATCCTGTCTTGCGAGTGGGCTATTCCTGGAAGTTTCTTGGGGCTGATGGGCGCCCACACGAAAAAAAAGGATGGTGTTCTCTGAATCCCTTCGAGACGGCCACGGACGTTCCCAGGAGAATTACAAACTGCCCTATGGTCGTTTCCCCCCGAACCTTGAAGAGCGCATGATAGTTGAAGATAGCCCAGGCAAGCCCCAAGATGGCACACGAGGGCCCTTGCTCGAGGACCGATGGTGCGAACTACAAAGGACAAGTGCATTTGTTTTGACATGATTGACTCTGGTTTTACGCTTGGCGTGCCTCGAGGCCAGACTCCGTAGTGGCCGCAAGCCTTCAAGAAGCACGAGGAGAGCCCTGCGAAGCCCTGGGGTAGCTCCAAGATGGCCCCGAGGTGGCCCAAGAGTGCCCCAACAGACTCCGAAAATAGCCCCACGAGAGCCCCCCGGACGGCACAAGCGGGTTTCGGTTGTCGTTTCACCTTAGTGCGCCCCCCATACGGACCCCCGATCCCGTCCCAGGCGGCCCAAGAAGACTCAGGGTGACCCCAGTACCCCAAGACGGTCCCCAGATCCTGCAAGATGCCCCCAGAAACTTACCAAAGGCCAACGCCTGCGAATTGGCCACGGTGTGAACGGGTTGTCCGAAACCGGGACGTGGCGTGGCTCGCGCTTGCAGCATGGATGCGATGCAAGGGGGGGGTGAAGATGAGCAGAACGAGAATGGAGGCGGCAGTAAAACGGGCGAAGTGAAACAAGAAAGCGACAGGGGCGGATGGTGGGGGTGAGAGGAAGTGAAGTGAAAAGAAAAGTGCAGAAGGAATAGAGGAGAGGGAGACATGAGAGATCAACGATGAGTAGGAGGGAGGAGAACAGTGAAGAGGATGAGGTGGACCAGGAGGAGGTATACAGACACATCAAAGGCCAGGATGAATGATGCAGGCCTGTAACAAGACTATGCCGACGTGGCGAGGCATGGGAGAGGATATGGAGTACGACGAGGGTGAGGCAGGCTGGTGTTCGCTGTCAATGAAGTGGTACGCGTTGCAGATTCTAGGGCGTGAGCGTTCGCGAAGCGCGCATGCTTCTAGCATTCTACGTCATAAGCACACGCTGGTATATTCATGCTCAGGTTGTGAACCCAATTGGGCAGAGGCCGTTCAGTGTGAAATGCGAAACGGCCTCCACATATTTGGACATGAGTGTTTGCATTGTGCATGCCAGGCGCAACAGCAACGTGAGCATGCTGGCCACAGGATTGGCTTCGCGCGTCTGGACCGCGTGCTGCACACACGGCCGGCAACATACGCGCACACAGAGCACGGTGCGTCTGCTTAGAACATTGCACGGCCCGTTGCACACGTGCAGGATCCTGGGTTGAGCTGCGCGCCATTGGCACCTCCGGGCGGGCACGCGCTTTCGTGGTGCACCCGTCGGGCCCTAGGGAGGTCCAGCACAAATGTCGAGGATGAGGCGGAGAAGGAAGAGGATGAGGGGGATGACGTTCTCTACGCATACGCTGCAGAGCCTCTACGCAGGCCCAGTCAGAGAGCAAAGGGTTGCTGCGGATCCTGATTGTCTTTAGCACCTTCAGAGCATCTTGGTGCTGACGTATAGGTAGTCATGCCCTGCCCGTTTCGGCCTCAGGCCATTGATTACCAACGTACCGGGATTGGCAGTCTACTTCCTCACGTTCTTCTTGCTCGGCCCAATTGCCCTCATGAACATCGTAACGGCAAGACACTAGGCTGACGCCTTACCCCCTCGAAGCTGCGGCTTGCACCTGCATGCGTTGAGAGATGAACATTGGAAAGAGCAGGAGGGCGACAAGGTTGACAAGGAGAAGGAGGAGGCGGACGACGAGGAACACGAGAAGGGGGGATAATGAGGAAGAGGAAGGGAAAACGAGAAAATGGGAACAGACAGAGGGAGCAGAAGGTTTTGCATTGGTCATTGTAGCCCTCTTGGATCAGATTCGGGCCGCTTGGAAGCTTTTTGGGGGCGCCTTGGGAGACTCTTTGGGCCCTCTTGGAGTCTCTATGGGCGTCTCGGGACCCTTTTGGTCCGTCTTGGCGCAACCGAGGGCCGTCGCGGCTGCCTTCTGAGCCGCCTCGGGCCATTCCGAAGGTCACTCTTGGTCGCCTGTGGGGCGCTCTTGGGCAGGCTTGTGAAGTTCATTGGCCACCCTTGGGCGGAGAACGTGGAAAGCAAGATCCAGCGGAAACGACGCATGGCGCTCCATGGCTTCGAAGCCGCCAGGACCTCTCCTGGACTCTCCTGCCCAGGCGCATCCAGCGGCCTCATCATGTCGAAGCGCGGACCTGCGGACTTCGCGACCCGTCAGGGTCCTTTCCGACCCTAGCGATCCGATTCGATATCGGCTCCGACTGGCCAGGTCCGGTTCGATTCGGATAGTCCGACGGTCCAGTGTGGCCCGATGTCTGCATGGCGTTGTTGTGCATCGTGACGCCTCCGATTCGATGCGATGCCGACGTTGTGGCCCGATTCGATGCCTGTTCCGATCCGATCCGGCTCATCGACTTGATGTTGATCGCCCCTGCCCCATGGACCCCAGGATTGGCTTCTCGTACCTGGTGTGTTGGATGACCCCAGACTCCAGGGCGTGCCCACTGCCGAAGAAGGGGCCACGGATTGGCCGCCCCGATCGTTTGTTGTTGGCCGGCGGGTGTCCGGGTGGTCGGTGGGGGTGTCCGAGCGGCACGGGCAGATGGCCCACCCGAGACAGCTTCGAGGTCGGCGCGGGGAATCAGAGGAGGAAAAGGTATACCCATACCTCTGCCCTGCCCTGGTTTTCCCCTTCTCGGGCCGGCCCAAATCGCCACCGCTGGAGACCCGCCCCTCGAAGTCCTGAGTCAGGAGAACGCCCCCCGGGATGGGTCCGGGGAGGGGCGGTGTGGGCGCCTCTTGATTTCCCCAGGGGCCCCGCCCAGGGCCCCAGGTGGCGCACGGGCCTCCGGAGGCGCCCCCTGCACGGAGCTCCTGCGAGGCGCGAGGCAAAGCGCGGGACGGCCCCAGACGTACGTCGGGCGTGTCTTCTACAGGAGGAAGATTCGAAATAGTCAAAACATAGTCCCGGGACGATTTTTTGAGCATGTGTTGACCAATCTTGAATATTTGTTGGTTGCCTTTTTCACCCAAAATCCGCCCGTAGGGGGACATGCCCGATTAAACCCCAGACCCACCTCGCGCAGCGAAGGGGCTGCGGCGGAATGCCTACGTTCCCTTCTGACGAGTTGTCTCGTGCACCCCCCGTGCCCAGTGCCCGCCTGGCATGCTTCCGTTGAATACTGGAGTGCCCCCCGCCCGGGCCTGCGCCCTTGTGAGGGAAGGCCTCGAGCCTCAGGTCCGGACTGCTGGCCCCCCGGAGTGAAGCAGCAGCAGCTCCCGCCGGATACTTCTTCGCAGTGTGTTTCGACTCGCGCTCTCGCTCAACACAGCTCCTCACAGCTTACTCAAGGATCGCGCTCTCGCCTTGGAGTTCCTCGCGGCGTGCTGCGGCGCCGCGCTCTCGGAGTCCAGGACCCGCGCTCGCGCACGGGTCGCCCTCGCCAGTTCCACAGGACTCGTGCTCTCGCCTGAGGCTTCTTCAAAAGTCACCCGTTCGCTTCAATGCCCCGCCCCGCCCGTTGGTGCCCGCCCGCCCGACCCCCCCGCTCGCCCGTTTCAATGTCCCGCCCGACCCGCCTGACCTGTTAGGGCCCGCCCGCCCAACCCGCCCGTTAGGGTCCACCCGTCCGATCTGCCCGTGGAGGTCCCGCCCGCCCGACACGCCCGTTCGGGTCCGCCTGCTCTGCCCGCCCGTTAGGCCCGACCAGCAGCCACGACGTTTCGCGTCTGATGCTTCCTCCCAAGTCATTCATGATGGACCGCGCTTTTGCTCGAGATATCTGTGCCATATCCACTGGGATCGCGCTTTCTCTCGGGACGTTGTTGTCGCGTATTGAGGGGCCGCTTCCTTCACGCCCAGGAAACGTGCCCTCGCACGAGACGCCCTCACAACATGCCGAGGAATCGTGCTCTCGCCTGGAACTGCTCTGCAATTCACGAAATTCGCTTCAATGCCCCGCCCGCCCCGCCCGTTAGGTCCCGCCTGCCCGACCTGTCCGTGAATTGCCGATCGCATGTGTTCCTGCTCCTCTCTCCCCTCTCTCCTGCTGAATTCTGTTCGTCCTCCATGATCCTCCCTTCAACTTGCACCCCTGCACTTCGTTATCTCCTCCTCCCTCGCGTTCTCCCTTGCTTTTTGTTCCCGGGCCGCGCCATCCACACGCTGCATGCCACGAGCATGTGTGTACCATCCAGCGTGGCTGCGATCGGTAACGATGAAAACCGGAATCGAGGGTTCAGGGCAGACATGTTGAACGACACGTAATCAACGAGGAGCGAACATATTTCAATTGATTGTTGTTGTTCTTGTTGGTTGACAGGCGACTTAGCACCCTGCCCCTTTCCAGCAACCAACAACCCCGGCGATCCCACAGGGGTGTGCCGAAGGGCCCCTCTGGGACTTAATAGGGGGTCGTGCGGCATCTTCACGGAACCCTTTAGGAGCCCCACATGTCCCCCAGGGAATCCTGCAGGAGCCCTCGAGCATCCTTGCGGGCTTTTATTTGGGGCCCTATAGAGTCCGCGCGGGAACCCAATAGGATCCCTTTGGAACCTCGTCGGGGGCGTAGAGGAGCCCACAGGGAGTTCTAGAATGCTTGTAGGATATTCAGGGAACTTTATACGAACCCTACAATGTCTCCATGAAACTTCTAGAGGAAACGTATCGGGTCTTTGCGGCACCTTACAGGAGACCAAGTTGATCCTTAGGGAACCGATGAGACTCATATAGGGTCTCTAGGGAACCCTGAGGAGCCGTATGGACCCCCACGGAGGCGCATCGGAGTCTTATCGGACCCCTGCGGAGTCGAAGACATGTTTGGGAAGCCTCACGGGAACCTATAGGAGCCTTATAGGACCCTGACGGGACCTGATAGGAACCCTATAGGATCCATCGTAGGATCCTGGCGGAGTCATGTCGGATCCCTCGCCGGATCTTTGCGGGACCCTGATGGAGCGGGATCGGATCATTCAGGCATCTTATAGGACCCCTATAGGACCCCTACGGAAACCGATCGGAGGTTTGTAGGAACTTTGCGTAACCCCATACGATCCTTCCCGGATCTTTTCAGCAAATCATTGCGATCTTCTAAGGCCCCTTCGCAGTTTGGGAGGGGCCCTCCAGGATCCTTACGGCACCTTCGAGGAGCCCGGAAGGATAAAGGCGGAACCCGATTGGAGCCCCATGGGATCCCGATGGAATCATATAAAGGAGCTCGTTGGACCCATCTGTAACTCAGGAGGATTTTTTTTTGATCCGTGAGGAGCCTTTCAGTATGGATCAGCAGGGGGTTCTGCAGGAGCCTGATGGGGCCCTTGACACGAGACCGAAAGGATCCCCGCGGAATCCGACAGGAACCTCCTAGGGCCTTCGCGGAACGCTAGGAGCCGTTTAGGATCCCCACGGGCCCTAACAGAAAGGCTATAGGACCTCGGCGCCATGTGGGAGGCCGACCGGGTCTTCACGGAGATTTCTAGGGCCCAAGCGGCGCCGTTGCGAAACCCCATGGAAACCAAATTGAATCAACACAGGAGCTTAGAGCAGCCCGATGCGACATGTTCACTGCAATGTATAGGGGCCTTGAAGGGTATTTGCAGGAGTTTGTTTTCTAGCAATCCGACCGGATCCCTGCGGCATACTTGTTTAGCATTACTTTTTTTGTTGCCAGTATTCTTATTTCTATGGCTATTACTGCCACTGCCGCCACGACGGCAATTATTTTTCCTACTCCTACTACTACTACTACTACTGCTACTACTACTACTACTACTACTACTACTACTGCTGCTACTACTACTACTACTACTACTACTACCTCTACTACTACTGCTAGTACTACTACTACTACTACTACTACTACTACTACTACTACTTCTACTACTACTACTACTACTACTACTACTGCTACTGCTACTGCTACAACAATTACTATGTTTATATTAATGCTAAGGCTACTGCTACTAGTAGTATAATGTCTACTGCGACTACTACTACTACTACTACTACTACTACTACGACTACTGTTTCTACTGCTACTGCAACAACTACTACTACTACGACTACTACTGCTACTACTACTACTACTACTACTACTACTACTACTACGACTACTATTACGGCCGCTACCACGATTAACAAGTGGCACGTGTGTGCCCAGGCTCATACAACAAGCTGAAGGGGCGTTTGAAGCAGGAGTGACATGCAACAGCGAAATCGCACTCGAGCGCAAGTGGGGTTGCCACACCTTGCGATGTGTGTACCAGGGCCCCCCAGGAAGCCTCAGGAGGCCCGACTTGGATACCAGAAGAGGCTCCAGGAGGCCCCAGGATTGTGAGTGTGTGTGTGTGTGATGTGTGCTTTGTGTGGTGCGTGCTTTTTGTGTGTTGTCGGTGTGTGTGTGTGTATGTTATGTTTGTCTAGCGTGTGATGTGTTGGGCGTGATTTGTGTCTCTGTGTGTGCATGTAGTTCTGAAGCCCCAGGAGGCCCCAGGAGGCCCCAGGCGGCCTCAGCAGGCCCAGGAGAACTCC